AAGAATCAAACTCCGGGAAAACCCTAAAGCTTTAATAACTAAAGATTAAAAGGAAACTTTAATCCGGCCAAGCTAATCGTTGTGGGTATAGTAAAATCATTAAAGATTCTAGCAATAGATATGGGTGATCGCGGATCTAAACCAATATAAAAATAATTGTAAAAGAGCAACGAGTAGATGATTCTTCTCTATTGAATAAATATTGTAAGGTGTACTCTAGTCGCCGGGCAATCCGGTTCTCGGCAGAAATTAAGTAAATCGAGATTAAAGCTAGCGCAATAGCCTATCCATTTACCTTATCTAAATAATTAGGTTAGTTTCAGAATCCTAAGGATAAAGGTACTCTGGACAAGTCTAAATAAATAATAATATTAAATATATGGTATTAAAGTCTAATTTAAAGGCGATGTGAACGATTTATTTCTTGAATACCTGAAAATTTTCATACGTTAAATTCAAACAGCATAAGACTACGAAGCACTGATTTACCGTTAGCTTCACGGATATTTTTACCTAATGTTTTCGCCGCTATCGCTATCTTAAAGAAATGGACCATTAGATCATATTCTACACAAGGTACAAATCCTGACGACTCAAATAATGAATCTTCAGCCTTAAAGACATTTTTGAATGCTGATAAAGATAAAGCAGATATTCTTCAATATGTTCAAGGTAAAGCAGGTATATACCTATGAAAGAATAACTTAGATGGTAAAAAGTATATAGGTAGCTCTATAGCACTGCGTAAAAGATTATCGGGATATTATCTAGAAAGTCAATTACGTCATGATAATTCAATGCGTATTAATAGAGCATTATTAAAATACGGACACCAAAACTTTAGTCTTACAATATTAGAATTTTGTGACAGTGACAGAGCTATCCTTCATGCCAGAGAGAAACACTATTTTGAGAAATACTCACCTGAATATAATATTCTAAAAACGCCAGGGAGTCCAGCCCATATGAAAGAATATTTCGAAGCTAATCCTGTGAGTGGCTCTAAAGTTGAGGTAACGGACGTGCAAACTAATACTACCACTACTTATGTCTCTATTAGAGGAGCAGCTCGTGCTTTATCAATAGACAGGAGATATATTGAACACTTTATAAACTTAAATCAAACGAAACCAGTTTTCGATCGATACACTTTTAAATTAATTAATAGTGAATCTAATGTTAAACCGACAATAATACAAAAAACAAGTAAACCGATTGAAGTCACAAATGTTGTAAGTAAAGAAGTTACAATATATCATTCTGTTACTGCAGCTGCGAAAGCATTGGGGTATCGTCAGACAAGTATATCGACGTATTTAATAAAAAAAAGAACTACACCTTTTAAAAAATTATATTTATTTAGGTTCGTTTCAGAATCCTAATGTTAAGGTACTTTGGACAAAGTTACGTTACGATGTTCGGGTCACCTTCTTCTTAACATACTAAGCACATTTGTCTACAAGATTATGAGTTCAAATATGATTTTCTTCATATTGGGTTTACTACCATTAGCTTTAATTATTGCATTCTCAGGGTTAGAACTGATGATAGCCGTGATACAAGCTCAAGTGTTTGTAGTGTTAGCCAGCTCTTACATTAAGGACGGACTCGATCTACATTAGCCCTTACATTTAATAGGCATCCAACCAAAGGTAGGCAGCCTCATCATCAAATAGCAAGGTTGCCACCTAGGCTCGTGATCTTGATAGTGAAGTAGGAAAATTATAAAACATTAAACGTTTATCCATATTAAATTAACGATATCTCTGATAGAAAATAAAATTAAGAATATAGAAGTGACTCTTCAAGGCTTATATCATATAGTTAAATATTATGATGCACTTCTACCTTATCTATGCGAGCAAAGAATTTAAACAAGATGAATAATAAAATAAGGATCTTTATCAATTAGGATAGAGCTAAGAACATTATATAATTTATACGGATCCGAGCCCAAAAAGTTAGAACGATTATAGGGGGAAATTGTGATTAAAAAAAAACATACTAGAACCCACAACAATAGATGAGTTTGATGCTGGCTCTGAACGAATACAAACAAATTTTTTAGACACATGCTAATCGTACGACCTAAAAAGTAGGAGAGAAGAAAATCTAAAGAACTTTAGGTTAGTGGTGAACAGGTGAGTGCTAATCTGTATACCTATCTTAAAGAATCGAGAAATCCGATATATCTTATGCATCCTTCTTCCCATTTAATTCCCCCCATAGGGGGGAATAAGGGGGGGGTGAGGGCAAAAGTGAAAAAAGAGACGTAAGACTCGCTTTGAGAGGAAGTACAGAGAACAAGAGAGGTAGTAGTTGGAGTAATGATTTAACTAGCCTAAATTCTTGGAGTTGAATCTGAAAGGATGATCAACCACCCGGGGTCTGAGAAAAGCCCCGTGCAATTAATGTACAGCAGTGAAGAATTTTTGTCACTAGTCTAACGACTGAACAGGAAATTTGTAGAGTGATAAGTCTTGATTTGATAATTTAAAAGTTATCTATCAGATTGTATTAATTTTGAATAAAGCTCTGTGTATGCATCAATAATGATGATGTATATATTTTGTCTTGACTAAGTGCGTGCCAGCAGTCGCGGTAATACGTACAAGGCTAGTATTGTTCATAATAATTAGGTTTAAAGAGTAAGTAGACGGTCAAATTATCAAGTAATGTAATAATAGACTAGAGTTAGATATAAGAGAGCAGTACTTTCAGGAGAAGGGATGAAATCCTGTGATACCGTTTGGACTTTGTTAAGGCGAAGGCAGCTCTTTATGTAATAACTGACGTTGAGGTACGAAGGCATAGATCGTAAAAAGGATTAGATACCCTCGTAGCCTATTGCAGACAATGATGAGTGCCATAGGTTTGATAAACTATATGTAAATTAGCAATAGTTAAATATTAAATCTATAAACGAAAGTGTAAGCATTCCACCTTAAGAGTATAGGGGCAACCCCGGAACTATAAATAGTATAATAGATTGTAGTGTAGGTTCGAATCCAACTCTATAGAATAATCTTTCTTTTCTGCCTTATTTAAATTTAAAAGTTAAAGCGAATAGTCAGAAGATGGGGCTTAGCAAGATGACGATCAAAAAGTTCCAACTCTATAGAAAACAAATAAAGGTGAAAACGGTTAACGGTTTCCTAAAATTTATCGTAAGTGAATTTTTTATGAGTAGAATCATAATACTTTAGACCGTCGGCAGTCGTTAATGTCGCTACTGACTGGATCACCGGGGCTAGACTGAAATGTCTGTCTAAATGTACAGTCGAGTTCTGTAACGAGGGATTCTCGTAGAGAGGCAGGATATTATCTATTTAATAATAGATAGCCATTTATACTATGGTAGTAACTCTCCGTTAATCAGAATTGAAGCATTAGACTGTAGTTGACACCAGCTGTGGCCTATTGTCGTTTAATTCGTTGGTCCTCGAAAAACCTTACCTTAATTTGTATATCGATATTATATCGTTACATGAGTTGCACGGTTGTTTTCAGTCGATGTTGTGAAATTATGATTACATTAAATTGACAAAATCCTCGGCAATATTTTTATAAGGTATTATACGATGTTGCAATTTGAGCCACGAGATGGCAAGAATAAAGGGGAGTAAGACAAATCATCATGGCCATAATATTAAGGGCTATAGACGTGGAGCATATTCCTAAACAAAGAGAAGCAAAACAGTAATGTTAAGCAAATCTCCAAATCTGGATAAAATAGAAAGGGATAGTCGACTGCAACCCGTCGGCTTGAACGAGTAATAGCTAGTAATCGTATATCATCACGGTACGGTGAATAATCCTCGGCTAAGTACTTATCACTCGTCATGCGTTGAAAGTAGCGAAACAATAAGTTTGCTTTTTTGATACTATTGTAAAATCTATATTCTGTTAGATTCCAAAGATCGAAATTCTTCGTATGTGTAACTATAATTGATGTGAAGTCGAAATACAGTTGAAGTCATGGAAGTGGCTCCGAATAAATAAAAATAAACAATAAAGAAAACCAATCTGGGTAGATTTAAACCATATTGTATTAAAGAACTGAATGAAAGAAAAAAAACACTGAAGAATCATAGTGGGATTAATAATTGGTTCGAATCCAAGTCAGGAGTTGAATAGTAGAGTTAATCTCTAGCATAGAGCGTAATATAAGCAGACCAAGAGGGAAAACCGTACAGATTTGTAAGGTCTAGTGCCCATAAGGAAGTTTTTTGAGGGTAGGGGTGAACTAAACATTGTAGAAAGAGACACTTACTTCTTAAACCCCTTGTATTCCTAGCTCCTGTTTTCCTAGCTCCGCTAACCCTTAAAAATTAACCATAGGGGGGAATTAAGGGGGTGTAGAGGTGGTAAGCCACTCCTTTAATGTAGGATACATAAACAGTAGCCCTGCTTTGCTGGTCGTATATATTTTCAGCCAATTTATATTAGTTAGCCAGCTGCTTCGCTAGCTATTGGGGGAATTTCCATGAAGGAGTAAACATTAGTAGTACTAATACATCAATAGAATCAAGTGAAAACCACAGAAGTGGGGACTTAGAATGATTAGAGAGAGTAGATTTGTTAGCATAGTAAAAATATCTCCCTTTAGATCAACAAGGTGAGGTATGTAAGTAGGAGAGTTCCTTTATTGGCAAGAAGGGTTGAGCTGTAAACTCAATAGCAATCGCTTTTAAGAGTTCGAATCTCTTCTTTCCTATATTCTCCAAGTTTCGGAGGGTCAAATTAAGAGTTAGTAACTTAATAGGATAAAGATTCACCTTGTCATGGTGAAAGCTGTCAGTTCGACTCTGATCTAATTCGAAAAAAGATAGATTCAATAGGAAAAGTAACCATTGGTAGGGTAAAGCATTTGCTATATGCTGTGTCTAGTACACCTAAGAGTTCGAACCTCTTTTTTTCCTAAGAGTTGGCGTACGCCTGTACGCCAATACACAATCTTGATAAAGATACGGACTTATGCTAGATGGTCACGTCTATAAGCCCTAATAGCTCAACGGTAGAGCATGTCACTGTTAATGATGAGATAGGTGTTCAATTCACCTTTGGGGCTTTTTTTTACTTTAAGTCTTGCCTTTGCCTTTTTTTCCCATACCTCCCGTAGCTAGGAAAAAACAGGCAGTAGATATAGTAAGGGTTTAAATGTATAGGAAAAGAATACAAATTTAATCTGTATGAACAACACTAACAAGACAATGTCAACAACAATTAGAAGCAATTTTCAAGATCATCCATTTCATCTTGTGTCACCATCACCTTGACCACTTTATATAAGTATTGCACTATTTAATTTAACAGCTAACGCGGCTCTATCAATGCACCTGTTTAATAATAGCTGAATATTCTTTTACATTGCATTGATTACAGTTATCTCAACAATGGCCTTTTGATTCAGGGATATTACAACAGAAGGTACACTATTAGGGAACCACACCCAAGCTGTTCAGAACGGGTTAAATCTTGGAGTGATATTATTTATTATTTCAGAAGTGATGTTCTTTGTAGCAATATTTTGAGCCTTCTTCCATAGTGCCCTAGCACCAACAGTTGAACTGGGAGCAAGCTGACCACCACTTGGTATAGAGGCAATCAATCCTTTTGGTATACTCAAAGGGCCATCGAATGTAGATCGATGCGCAAATGGCAAATTGCGGGAACTTTAAAAGATGATTGTGATTATTTATCTCTAAACAATCCGCAGGTTTTATCTATATATTAATAGTTGGACTTCAACGATCAGACGCCATTATATAAAATCCATATTTTATATGTGATATGATCTAACTTTTTTGGATAGTTTGATATCTTGAACACCTGTTTGATAGATTGAAATATCTTTGCACGCCTAGTCGCGAAATCAAAACTTCACACAGAGTTACTAAAGGTACTCCTACTTCATCAGTTTACTTTACAACTCGACAACTAAGAGCTATAACAGAATTATATATAATGTTTTATGTTGAGGGTATAAAGATAATACCATTAAACATTGCAAGCTTATTAACAGAAGAGAGCTTAGCCTATTGATTCATGGACGATGGCGAATATCATTCATCAGGCTGAATCTTGAATACATGTGGATTTACAATCGAAGATATCAAAGTTTTACAAGCTGCATTAATGGAGAAATGAGGACTAGAGACGTCTATCCACAGTAGAAACAGGTTATATATCAAAGCTATATCTAGAAAAAAATTTTTAATTCTTATCCTACCGCATATGCATGAGTCAATGCTTTACAAGTTAAAATTGAAGAATTAAAAAAAAATATGTTGTTTGAGCTACCTCTCTTAAATACGGTGATACTTTTATCTAGTGGTGTAACAGTTACATGAGCTCATCATTCTATAATCAAAGGTGATAGATTTGGATCTATATATGGAACTTTACTAACAGTAGTTTTAGCACTAATCTTTACAATGTTTCAAGGGGTCGAATATAGCTATTCTTCATTCACTCTGAGTGATGGGGTTTTTGGTTCGTGCTTCTACTTTGGTACTGGCACGCACGGGTGAAGTATTGATGCCCTGGGAAAGAGTTAAAAGCAAGAACGTCTTATCATTACTAAGTCCGATAGGGCAATAGTGGATAGTATGAAAATTTGCTGCCAATATATTAAACGTATATAGGTTCAACGACTAGCTAATATGTTTAATAGCCACAACTCTACTTATACGAGATCAACACTAATAAGAATACATAGTCTAAACAATAATGAGAATTATTGATAATATTTTGTTCATATCATAATCGGAACCATCTTCTTAGCCATTGGTTTATGAAGAATTTATGCGTATCATATAACATCTGACCATCACAGAGGTATAGAGAGTGCAATACTATATTGACATTTTGTTGATGTAGTCTGATTGTTTTGTGCGCCATTGTGGATATACATTGGTTGTGTAGTACCATTCATCATAGTAAATAACCTCATAGCTCTGGGGACTATGATTGAAGGGAAAGACACCGAGGTTGCAGTTGAACCTTGTAATTCATACGACTTACCTACAATCGAAAGAAATGAGGGACCACAGCATGTCGTAAAAGCAGTAAACGTGTTTCTTAGAAAAAACATAGGACTTACTGCGAGAAAAATCTGTCATGGATCTTCCACTATATTTAGTAGGGCGCTTCAGAACCCCATATGTATCACATATGCGATCTCAATAATGATAAACGGGAGTGTTAACATTATAACTGCGGGGATCGGACAAAATAATAGATATGAACCTAAAACAGAAAACGCCAAAGTAGAATCAACTATGGGATCACCTAAGGGAAGTAATTCCTATGGGGACGGAGTTTCAATATTAGATTACAGGAAAGGAAGCCATTCTGTAATTAAAGTGAAACAGCGAATGTATTCGACATCTGCCGTTGCTGGTAAGACAAATGCTTTTACCGGTGCGGAACTGCTGTCGAAAATGAAAGTACGCGGTGGAAAGTACACTGGATTGTACGATTTAATTATTACTGAAAAACTTCTATTTGCAGCTTATCATAGCATCAAATCCAAACCTGGAAATTTGACTCCCGGGCAGGATGAATCAACTCTAGATAAATTTTCTCCCGAGGTTCTAAAAAAAATATCAGAATCTCTTAAGGCTGAGAAATTCCAATTTAAACCAACTAGAAGGGTATACATCAAAAAGGCAAACGGTAAACTCAGACCGCTGGGAATACCATCACCGAATGATAAAGTGATACAAAAAGCTATGGCAATATTATTAGAAATCATATTTGAACAAGAATTCAGGCCAAGTAGCCATGGTTTCAGACCTAACAGAGGTTGTCACACAGCAATAGCTACTGTGAACCAATGAAGGGGAACTATGTGAGCGATCGAAGGAGACATAAAAGGATTCTTTGATAATATTGATCATAGAATACTTGTAAACTTATTAGAAAAAAAAATAAAGGATCAAAGATTCATTGACCTAGTTTGAAAACTAATAAGAGCGGGATATGTAGAAGAAGGGATTAAAAGAGACCCACTGGTAGGAACACCACAAGGGGGAATACTAAGCCCAATCCTATCAAACATATACTTACATGAATTTGATAAATACATGGAAGAAATTATATCCGAATTTTGTAGTAAAGCCAAAGATATAACAAAGAGAAACCCGGTGTACGATAAAATCACTAGAAGAATTCAATATCTGAGAGACAAGTACCCACAAGCCACAGATAGACCGGAGAGCATAAGAAAGGAAATTGAAGGTCTAATCAAAGAAAGAAATAGCATACCTGCTAGACTTCCAAACGGAACAAGAGTAAGATATGTTAGATATGCGGACGATTGAATCATTGGAACTTACGGATCAAAAGAATTCACCGAAATGATAAAAGAAAAAGCATCAAAATTTCTAAGAGAGGAACTAAAAGTAGAATTGAGCGAAGAGAAGACTAAGATAACTAATCTACACAATGATAAAGCGGCATTCCTAGGTTTCTATATAAGAATAAGAAAACCAAAAGAAAACAAGAGAGTAGTAACCATCTTCAAAGGAACCAAGAGAAAGGTAAAAATAGGACATAATGTTATGGAAATACTAGCACCATACTCAAAAATAATCAGTAAATTGATAAAAGAAGGTTTTATAGAAGAAAGAAAAGACTCAAAAATAAAATATGTACCTCAAGCGAAAACAGCCTGAATACACTTAGACCATCATGGAATTCTAAGCAGGTACAACTGAATATCGAGAGGTCTTTGTAATTATTACAGAAATGTAAACAATATTGCACTACTCCATTTCTTTATCAATTTTATTCTAAGAAATTCTTGTGCTAAAACACTGGCTAGAAAACTTAACTTATCGTCTAGAAAGAAAGTGTTTCAAAAATTTGGATATGATTTAGAGACAAAAACTGGACCTAAAATCAAATTCTACACAGAAAAGGACTTCAAACAAAAACTTGAATGAAAAAACGTGTTAGATAATATTAGACCATTTGATGTCCTAAATTGAAGACTTAGAACACAAACAAACTTCTGAGACAAATGCAGAATCTGTGGATCGATAGACGGAATAGAAATGCATCACGTAAAACACATCAGAAAATCCGGTAAGCTAGTCAAAGGGTTCACACAACTTATGTCTGCACTAAATAGAAAACAGATACCAGTTTGTAAGAATTGCCACAATAAAATCCATCTAGGAAAATATGACGGCATAAACCTAAAAGACCTTAAAGGCTAGCTAGACTCAAAAACATTCGCGGAGAGCCGTATGCAGTGAAAGTTGCACGTACGGTTCGGTGGGAGGCTGATCGTTGCCAGTCGAGAATAAATATCGATCACGGTGCGGGCTGTCGACCCAACGTGCGCCATTGTGGATATACATTGGTTGTGTAGTACCATTCATCATAGTAAATAACCTCATAGCTCTGGGGACTATGATTGAAGGGAAAGACACCGAGGTTGCAGTTGAACCTTGTAATTCATACGACTTACCTACAATCGAAAGAAATGAGGGACCACAGCATGTCGTAAAAGCAGTAAACGTGTTTCTTAGAAAAAACATAGGACTTACTGCGAGAAAAATCTGTCATGGATCTTCCACTATATTTAGTAGGGCGCTTCAGAACCCCATATGTATCACATATGCGATCTCAATAATGATAAACGGGAGTGTTAACATTATAACTGCGGGGATCGGACAAAATAATAGATATGAACCTAAAACAGAAAACGCCAAAGTAGAATCAACTATGGGATCACCTAAGGGAAGTAATTCCTATGGGGACGGAGTTTCAATATTAGATTACAGGAAAGGAAGCCATTCTGTAATTAAAGTGAAACAGCGAATGTATTCGACATCTGCCGTTGCTGGTAAGACAAATGCTTTTACCGGTGCGGAACTGCTGTCGAAAATGAAAGTACGCGGTGGAAAGTACACTGGATTGTACGATTTAATTATTACTGAAAAACTTCTATTTGCAGCTTATCATAGCATCAAATCCAAACCTGGAAATTTGACTCCCGGGCAGGATGAATCAACTCTAGATAAATTTTCTCCCGAGGTTCTAAAAAAAATATCAGAATCTCTTAAGGCTGAGAAATTCCAATTTAAACCAACTAGAAGGGTATACATCAAAAAGGCAAACGGTAAACTCAGACCGCTGGGAATACCATCACCGAATGATAAAGTGATACAAAAAGCTATGGCAATATTATTAGAAATCATATTTGAACAAGAATTCAGGCCAAGTAGCCATGGTTTCAGACCTAACAGAGGTTGTCACACAGCAATAGCTACTGTGAACCAATGAAGGGGAACTATGTGAGCGATCGAAGGAGACATAAAAGGATTCTTTGATAATATTGATCATAGAATACTTGTAAACTTATTAGAAAAAAAAATAAAGGATCAAAGATTCATTGACCTAGTTTGAAAACTAATAAGAGCGGGATATGTAGAAGAAGGGATTAAAAGAGACCCACTGGTAGGAACACCACAAGGGGGAATACTAAGCCCAATCCTATCAAACATATACTTACATGAATTTGATAAATACATGGAAGAAATTATATCCGAATTTTGTAGTAAAGCCAAAGATATAACAAAGAGAAACCCGGTGTACGATAAAATCACTAGAAGAATTCAATATCTGAGAGACAAGTACCCACAAGCCACAGATAGACCGGAGAGCATAAGAAAGGAAATTGAAGGTCTAATCAAAGAAAGAAATAGCATACCTGCTAGACTTCCAAACGGAACAAGAGTAAGATATGTTAGATATGCGGACGATTGAATCATTGGAACTTACGGATCAAAAGAATTCACCGAAATGATAAAAGAAAAAGCATCAAAATTTCTAAGAGAGGAACTAAAAGTAGAATTGAGCGAAGAGAAGACTAAGATAACTAATCTACACAATGATAAAGCGGCATTCCTAGGTTTCTATATAAGAATAAGAAAACCAAAAGAAAACAAGAGAGTAGTAACCATCTTCAAAGGAACCAAGAGAAAGGTAAAAATAGGACATAATGTTATGGAAATACTAGCACCATACTCAAAAATAATCAGTAAATTGATAAAAGAAGGTTTTATAGAAGAAAGAAAAGACTCAAAAATAAAATATGTACCTCAAGCGAAAACAGCCTGAATACACTTAGACCATCATGGAATTCTAAGCAGGTACAACTGAATATCGAGAGGTCTTTGTAATTATTACAGAAATGTAAACAATATTGCACTACTCCATTTCTTTATCAATTTTATTCTAAGAAATTCTTGTGCTAAAACACTGGCTAGAAAACTTAACTTATCGTCTAGAAAGAAAGTGTTTCAAAAATTTGGATATGATTTAGAGACAAAAACTGGACCTAAAATCAAATTCTACACAGAAAAGGACTTCAAACAAAAACTTGAATGAAAAAACGTGTTAGATAATATTAGACCATTTGATGTCCTAAATTGAAGACTTAGAACACAAACAAACTTCTGAGACAAATGCAGAATCTGTGGATCGATAGACGGAATAGAAATGCATCACGTAAAACACATCAGAAAATCCGGTAAGCTAGTCAAAGGGTTCACACAACTTATGTCTGCACTAAATAGAAAACAGATACCAGTTTGTAAGAATTGCCACAATAAAATCCATCTAGGAAAATATGACGGCATAAACCTAAAAGACCTTAAAGGCTAGCTAGACTCAAAAACATTCGCGGAGAGCCGTATGCAGTGAAAGTTGCACGTACGGTTCGGTGGGAGGCTGATCGTTGCCAGTCGAGAATAAATATCGATCACGGTGCGGGCTGTCGACCCAACTATACGTATCGATGTATTATTGAGGTTCTTAAATTTTTAAAGATAATTAATAAAAACGAGTATAAGTTAATTGGCAGACTTCCTGGTTTCCACTCAGTTCGTGTCAGTTCGATCCTGACTACTCGTAAAGCTGTATAGCTACCTTTTTTGCCCATCCTTTAGCATAAAATGTGGTAGGAGCAAAAAGAGATGAATAATTAAGCTTTTCCCTTACCTCCCTATATTTTATTCTAATAAAATTAGAAGGATGGGAGGTTAGAGAAATTTAAAAGATATATAAATGTTACCTGTTTCCTATTAAGGTTTAAATAAGATACAATAAAATGCAACAATCAAATCTATCTTCTCTATTTTTAATTAGTGAAAGCACAACTAATGGATACTCAGTAGAGTGTCTAGATGTTTTAAGTGTTATAGCGATAATCTTTGCAATGGGTGTAATATTAAATAAAAATCCAATAGCGTCGATATTATCATTAATCGGACTATTTGGAACTATCTCTGTATATCTAATACTATCGGGATTAACTTTTATAGGATTTGCATACTTGATCGTGTACATTGGTGCCGTGTCAATTCTGTTCTTATTCATTTTAATGCTGATTAATATTAGAACCAGTGAGTTCGAAAGCAATAATACGAATAGTCTACCTTTAGCATTGTTAATATCAATCTTATTTAATTACATTCTAATTAAGATCATACCATCGAAATTAAATGTGGGGCTTTCGCTTTCTTTCTTTGGTGCCAGAAGTAATGGATCAACAATAGCTGCCACGATAGGAGAAAACACTGTAGGTCCAGAAGGGTCCCTGTATGTTTCAAGCAACTACTGAGACGGAAATCTAATTGAGAGTAGTCATATATCTACATTAGGTGGGATAATCTATACATCTTATAGTTTGTGATTACTATTAGTAAGCTTGATATTATTAGTTGTGATGATAGGTGCAATACTAATAACGATTAAAAAAGAGTGCTAAAAGAGTAATTAGTTCAATGGTGGAACGTTTGCTTTACACGCAAAATGTTAATGGTTCGAAACCATTATTGCTCAATTTTTGTCTTTTTGGTTTTGGGGGAAAAATTTAAGCAAAAGCTAACATAAAATATAGAGATTCCTTGGACTTAATTGGTTAAAGTGTAATCTTGATAAGATTAATATCAGTGTTCGATCCACTGAGGAATTATTAACAGGGAATTGGCCGAGTGGCTTAAGGCAGTAAATTTGAGCTTTACCTAGCTGTGATGGCTACATCCGTTCGAATCGGATATTCTCTGATCATAAGATTAAGGTTAATAACAAAGAGTGTCTCTAAGATATATTATAAAACAGTGTTCTTAGTTTAGGTTTAATCTCTTATATAACGAGACCTCGTTTGATAATAAAGCTATGTGTTGAAATCCATCACATGTTCCATCTAGTTGTAAAGGGAGATACGTCATGAAGCTTAGTATGGAATCATCATTAAGAAATTGATTTAACCTCTCGATCTCCATGCAGTAAGCTAGAAAGAGGAATTTGTTCTCAGCTTGGCCTAACAAGATATTATTACTATAATCGATAATATTTTCTCAGTTAGCGTTCACTCAGTCTAATCTTTTATCGTACGACTTCTTATCTAAACCCTTACCGAAACAGGGAGCACCATACGCCTTTAAATAATTAATTGAAAGACTATCAGACCTCTCAAGTGTGTCAGGTACTGCAAACAATAATAATGCTTTAGCTAACTCACAACTTTGGTAGTGGAAGTAAGCAGTAACGGGATACAATCTTCCTCTGTGGTCTAACCTAAGAGGAAAGTACAGAGCAGGTACATTTTCGAAAAGAGTAGCAATATTAATAACATAGTCAAATAATAGCTTTTGACTTAAATATTGTTGATGTTTCATCGAATCTCTTTGACTTAAGTCCTTTATCTCAGCTTTCGTTAAGTTTTTATACAGCAGATCGCCTTCTAGACGTAACAACTTGTGAAGATCATTATATTCCAGTAAATATCTTAATAATACGGAGTTTATTTTGAAGGCTGTGCACATCATATTATTAATTGATTCGTATATAACATTGTTATCCAATATTGTTGATAACCCCATCATACCTTGCTTCTTCATTAAAAGACTCTCTAAATAATTCTGATCATTTAGTAAATAGCCACCTACCGTTTCATTACAGTAAGGCTTCGGTGGAACTATCATAGGTAATTTTAATGGAGCTAAGATCACGCTGTTGGACGGTATTGTCTCTGCTATTGATTCAGGTACAGAGAGCACAGAATGGTTATCGCCTTTAAACATTCTAAGGGATAGTGTCAACATATCGACTTCTATCATTAGTTCTGTTAGTTTAGCACCTAAATGTAGATAGAAAGCATCGTCGAATAAGATACTATTAGCTTCATCTTGTAACAACTCAGCCTTATACTTTGAAAACAGAATTTTATTCTGTATACAACCTATCATTATATATTTATTCACTAGTAACTTACCTAATTCGATATTCATTTGTGTGGTACTGTTATGGAGTTTATCTTTTGTTTGCATGTTAACATGTGTAACTACTAATAAAAAGATATAAACCATGTTGCCTAAGATAGCTTCAATTCCATTTTTATCCATTTCTAGTGCACTCAACACTTTACCTGAATAATAATCGTACTTTTTCTTCAGTGAAGAACTCTCCTTAAAGTTAGTCTCTAACAGGAGCAGACTACGTATTAATTTCAGTAAGTATGGCAGTAACTCTTCTCTTTTATCCATACAGAAAAGCTTAATAGGATCGTTAAGTAGATTTACATAAACATCAGCGTACTTCTTATTAGTGATTAAAAACTCACCTTGATTGACTAAGAAAGTTTC